CATGGGTATGGATTCTGGTAACAAGTTGCATCAGTCATAGATGTGGTGTGTTAGGTATGTGACTTGTGGTAGACTTGGCTTATAAATATGGATGGATGTTTCATATTTGATAATTACCGTTGTGAAAAAAGCGGTGAATTTTGGCTGGCGCATCTTAGTCATAGAGTGAAAGTTTAATGTTTTTATTATTGATCTGTATCGAACGTTTATGTCATATCACCACCACATAAAGAATGATTCTCTGCTACTTGTTTTTACCATTCTACTTTACACTTTGCAATTTGATTTCAAGATTTGCATATTCAGGTTTTTATTTTAACTATTTCATTACTTTCATTACTTACCCATTACATCAGGGTGTTGCATTTACTATGTATCTACAATTCATCTTGATGAAACAGTTAACTAACGTTAAGTATTTCCTTTGCAGGTATGAGTAACTTCTTAGTGGTTTTGGTGCTGGTTGCAGACGGTTCGTGGTAAGGTAAACAAATTCATCTTCGTATTAATTTTAGAATTGGCACTGCGTATATGCAACCTGGGCTTGGTTCAACAAAACCCTCCTTGTGACATGTAACCTCCCCACCCCATTCCACCCCTCCCGGTGTGCTAGATGCCTGTTAGTTTGGTATCGGGTCACATGGATCGGATTTGACTACCCTCCAAGTTGACCGCACCTGTCGCGAGGACCCACTTAGTGTGCCCTGTGATTGAATAACATCACTGGGGCGGTGGTGATTATGTAATATCTTTGGGTGTTTGTGTGAAATTAGCCCAAATCATTTATTGTCCTAGACATTTGATAAAGGTTGGGGGTGAAGGTGGTGGTTGTGTAGGGGAAGTGGAGAAGAAACAAGGCTGTCTGTACTTTGGGTGCTGGTTAAGTAGTTTTAAACCAGAAACGAAGAAGAAATATAGTTTTGCATGAGCGTTCTTTAAGTCATAGTTTTACTGCGGCAATGTTGGCGTTATATGATTAGACCTACGGTATGAAGTGCTGGGGTGTCAGTGGTGTCAGTGGTAAATTCTCAAGAAGTGCGGCAATGATTTATTGTGAGTAATGTAGAATGTAACTAGAAATGTTGAAATGACTCGCTACACCCACACATGTTCAGACGACTCTACATCCACACATGTTCAGACGACTCTACACCCACACATGTTCAGACGACTCTACACCCACACATACCAAGACGACTCTACACCCACACATACCAAGACGACTCGACACCCACACATACCAAGACGACTCGACACCCACACATACCAAGACGACTCTACACCCACACATACCAAGACGACTCGACACCCACACATACCAAGACGACTCTACACCCACACAAGACGACCACACACATTCCAAGACGACTCGACACCCACACATACCAAGACGACTCTACACCCACATACCAAGACGACTTACACCACACATACCAAGACGACTTACACCCACACATGTTCAGACGACTCTTACACCCACACATGTTCAGACGATCACACCCACACATACCAAGACGACTGACACCACACATACCAAGACGACCTCGACACCCACACATACCAAGACGACTCTACACCCACACATACCAAGACGACTCTACACCCACACATACCAAGACGACTCTACACCACACATACCAAGACGACTCTACACCACACATACTAAGACGACTTACACCCACACATACTGACTCTACACCCACACATACCAAGACGACTTACACACACATACCAAGACGACTTACACTCTACACCCACCACATACCAAGACGACTCTACACCCACACATACCAAGACGACTCTACACCCACACATACCAAGACGACTCTACACCCACACATACCAAGACGACTCTTACACCCACACATACCAAGACGACTCTACACCCACACATGTTCAGACGACTCTACACCCACACATACCAAGACGACTCTACACCCACACATGCCAAGACGACTCTACACCCACACATGCCAAGACGACTCTACACCCACACATGCTCAGACGACTCTACACCCACACATGCTAACACGACTATACCTACACATGCTTCGAACGTCGTGTCAGTGCTGAAATGGCGATCGGGTCATTGGTGAAGCGTTGGTCATATTGGGCAGGAGGAGCCTGCTTGGAGGGACCTCACTTGTGTAATGGTCATTGTCTTGGTGAAGAGGAGGTCGTAGCGGGATACATCATCAACTGGGTATTGGGTAATAAACTCGTGTTAATGATGGACGTGTGTAGTGAAGTCCTCTGCCTTTCCCTCCCTCCCCGCATCTTGACAGCCGGTCGGTAGGTGTCTGCTTCCAATTTCTTAGCCGGATGCGTCCCACTTGTAATATTTTCACCGGAAATGTTTCATCTATCTTTGACGGAAGTACTATTTCTCCCTTCTCCCTTTACAGTAAAAACGGTCTATGTGATTGTGTCCTAGACAACACCGGATTTGCGTTACTGTGCAGTAGATATCCTTAATATTTCCATTGGGTTTCTTAAAGGTGTACAGTAGTTCTTATTGATTTTTCACTGGCTGCATCTGGTACAAGGTTACAGCTCTAGGTAATCAGGCAAACGAGATTTAGTCATAATTTGATTTTTAAGTAACCTTGCCTTAAATGTGAGGTGTCTGATGGCTGAGTATGTTTATCCATGGTGCTTTATCATGATAGTCTTGTTAGTACAGTATGTACTGTACCATGTATTTTCTGTGGTAGAAATGTTTCGTATCGACTTCATATATCAACCCAGCCCCCTCACAACTGATTCCCCTCCCAGTTTGACAAGGTGGTCATACCAGAATTCAGTATTAGGTCCCTGTTCGTCATCGCTCGGGAGATATATTCATGAGACTATCCCACGGGACAAGTGAGGTATTGTTATTGCTAATGAAAGGCAGAAATAGGGGAGGCATTATTTCTTTACAGTCTCCAAGAAACCTCGTTTAACAAGGAGCGTGTAGCTTGGTGATTGTGCTGTAGGTAAATGGGGATGGTATTTTCCTGGAGTAGTCGTGTTAACGTAATGGTTGGGAGAGAATCGTATTGGAAAGTGTTTTTAAAAGCGCACTTCTTCAAGAGGTACTTTGTTTCCACTTACAGAAGAGTGTTATTTAGACAACTTGTGAAGGGTAAGTTTGTCCTCATGGAAAGTGTGTTAGTTTACACTTGGGAATTTGAAAACGTGAAAATGCCAACCTATATTTCATACCATAATGAAGACAATTGTAAATTACATAGTAGTGTGTTGTATCCACCACTCAAGTTGTTGTGACCTTGAAGTGTTTTTGCGACCACCTGTAGCATGAGAGGTTGTGCTTCAATACTTGAAGGAACAGGCGATGTTTGCTTACCTAAGAGCTGGGGCGTGCGTGTTTGAGTTGCTTGCAGTATTAATCCCAAAAGCAACAAGTCACCTTATTGTCGTATATTAATAATAATGTCAGAATTTGTGGGTCACTTTTTATGTTAGTTCTGTGGCGTGGATGTTACGGTGGTAAAGTTTTAAGTCCTCCGTCTTAAGAGTATAGGTCCTTACAAAGAAAATGGAACAAGTGACACCACAGTTTTCTTTCGGTTTATTATATGGGGTTCTGGGGTGAACTTCAAATCTTACACTGTAATGCGTTGATATTTAGCTTAGCACACACGTAATAAAAGGTCGGGTCGCGGAGACTGTTGCGCTAATGCTGTTCTTGCACGTGCTTCCAATTGGCTGTAATTTGCCCATGATTCTGCTGTTGCACTTGTTGAATGTCATTGATCGACGGGTTGTGCTGAGCTATAAATTGTTGTATTTGTGGGATTATTTCAGGCGACTAGAAATAGAACAGAAAGATGGAATGAACAAGTTGTTGACTCTTTTATCGGCCAGTTCCTTTCATCCTGTCCTGGCATGATTAAGAATGAGTTGTTAATGCTAGAAGTTTGTACCCGTACACACAAACACTATGTATGTATGTAAAGTGTTACTAACGTAGACCAAATTTTCGTCACTGCTGTTATTTTATGTGAAAAGTGTGTCGGGTGACAGGTAACAGCATTGGGGTGCGGGTGTAGAGTCGGCGAGCGGTGTGAAGATGGGAGCGACCAGTTGATTCAAGTTAACAGTTGGTTTACAAACTTGTCAAGGTCAAAAGTCGATTACAGAGTTGTGAAGCTTGAGTCTTTGGGACGTTTTAGGTGAAGCAAGCGAGCGTTCTACCTTGTAGTGAGGAAGTGATGGTGCTCTATACTTAGGTGTGTGTGCTGTGACGGTGTATAGGTGTGTTGTGCAGAGGTGAGGTGCGTAGCGGTGTTGAGGCGGCCCGAGGGATGAGTGTGGCGGTTGTGAGGAGCGATGCGTGCAGTGCGCGTGCGGCAGGTGAGAGGACGCCCCCCCCCTCTACCCTCCCACCTTACCTTCCCAGCTCCCTCACCACCACCACCAACTCCCATCACTGTAAAATTTCATTTTGTTCCAAACGTTAGAGTTGAAGCTGTAGATGATGTGTTGGTAAGTCATATGTACTGGCTGTAGACGATGGGACGAAGAGAAGGCTGGGACGTTATCGGCTTCACTAGTCAGAGATGAGGTAGCCTCAAAGATTGTAGTTGAGAAATTGTGGTAAATTTTGTTGTGGGAGTTAGTGAGTGTAGATGGAGTCCAGGTAGTGAGGCGGGGGAGGGGCGGGGGGACTCAGGTAAGCCGGGGTGTGCTGCACCCCCGCGCATGCGTCCCCACCCCCACCTCACAAACTAGCCACTGCTTTATCCCACTCATTTTTACCCTTATGAGGGTGAGTGTATAAACTTAAAGGATCAAGCAGTGGGTTTTGGGCATGTTGTGTGTTGTAGGTAGTTAGTAGAAGACGTGTGTTAGGTGGTTGAGTGTGTGTGTGTGTGTGGGGGGGTTAGTTAGTGGGTGAGTGGCGGTGTGTGGCATGAGTGGGGGAGCGGCCCCGCCTCCCTACGGTGTGCGGCGGGCGGGCGGTGGTGGGACTCGGGAGTTAGTCGTGAGCACGCCGCCGGCCGCGCTGTGCTCTCTCTCTGTGTCTCGCTACTCACACTACCTCACTCACACACCCGGACCTCACACCCTCACATCACCGTCGCCTTCACCGCTGTTACTGCTGCTGTACCTCTGTTACTGCTGCTGCTGACAACACTGCTGCTGCTTTTTCATCACCACTAACATACACCACATACATACACAGCTAGCAGCCGCGGCGCGACCTGACTCCAACCAAACATATCTTCCACGGCCTTAACTCGACAAGCCCGCGACTGGTGCTGATCCCCGCCGAGTACCCTGTCATCATTTGGGTGTGTACCCGTCACGCCCACGTAGCGATCAGCCCCCACCTCTTCATCCTCCCAGCCACCAAATTCCTCGCGAGACGCATCTCCCATCACCACCAAAATTTTCACGGCGGCTGAGCAACCCACGCCCATCTTCTCCTACCTCCCGCCTCCTCCGCATACCTTCTACCACCAGCCCGCCAATCTGGAAGTCACACACTTCGACGTTATGGTAAGTCCCCGTTGCCCGCTGGCAGCCCCTGACTCCTGTTTTATCTCCTGCTGTGTGCATAGTGCCAGTGCCGATGCGAGGTATCTGTTGGGGACTAATGTTCTCCGTGAAATAACAGAAACTGGGAGTCTGGAGCTCGGGTGTACCAGCACGACTCTTCTGTAAATTATAATAACCCAACCCCAACTTGTTTTTGGAATCTCGTTTGTTTGTTCCTTGCTTAGCTTACTCCTTTTGATACACTGCAGTATGATGTTTCCACACATGTGTGGTTTAGAGACCTTTATTGATCTTTTCGATTCACAATTGAGACACGTGTATGTTGAGTGCTACCTGGCTGACATCACCCACCCGTTATATAACTTGGGCAGCACGCCATATACGGGTGTTATTGTACATCTCCCGTTCGGGGAAGGTTTTACTACTACCTGCACCACGTAAGGTTATTTTATGTGTTCCCGAATAACGCTTCATAGTCTTGAGCTTCGTCGCCTGGTCGGGGAGAACCACAGGTATGGTGGTCCTCAGTGTTTACATTGTGAAAATTGGCAAGTTTATGTGTACTTGCTGACAGGAGCCCTTCTTGGTTTTGTCTATGCCTTGGTAGCTGTCAGATTATTTATAATATGAGGACTGTTTACATTTATAGCTCGTGAATATCAGCTGCTGTGTAGTATAACGACTAAGGTAACCCCATTTCAAGTGGGGGCAAAAAAGTCGTGGTATATATAATAATTGGTACCAAGAGATCGATCCCCAATTGCAGTCTTGGGAAGTAATGTAGTGCTTCTACTGTGAAAGTCTTGTACCTCAGGGAAGTGTGCTTGTTCCCCCACCCATTGTTTTCCTCTTATTTTTGACCAAGAAGAATAACACAGTGGTGTTAATATACACATGATAGCTGGGTCGCCGTGGAAACCTCAGCCGACAGAAACAGAAAATTTTGAGATGTGATTCAAGTTACCATTGAATATAATGTGAGCCGGTGAGAAGAAAGGAAGTGAATTGTGCCTAAAACTCAACCAAGAGAGAAGCCCAAGAATGGGGCCGTGGTTGGTTAATGATCTTCGTCTTGAGTTCAGAAAAGTAATGCCAAAAGTGACAATGGACCCAATGAACTTGAAAGAATCGCCATTAAGTTTTCGGACTTCTAAGTACTATCTATATTGAATATTGTTAAGTAATACATAAATTTAGAGTGAAACTGTTGAGTTAGAAAGAATACGTGCAATATTTAATGGTTTACATTGCTTCAGATAAACGTTTAAATTGTGTTAAGTGACAACAACAAGACAATACTGTACACGCAGAAACATGAACTAGAGATGAATCTGTGGTAGTAATGGAAGATGTACTTTCGGATATTACTCATTGGTGAAGAATTGAAAGTGCAAAAATATTTCAGTGACGGACAGGGATGCTGTGAATACATAGCTAAAATATTAAATAAATAATATCTGGTACTTGGTTTCTATAGTTTACCTGCAAGAAGAAATATCATGGAAATCCTACCGTCGCTTCAAGAAAGAATTTTCTTGTTAAGTGCACCGGACCATTACGATCCTCCCAGTTCCCGTTTCAGTGTCTCCTTTCGTTACTGAATATATATATATATATATATATATATATATATATATATATATATATATATATATATATATATATATATATATATATATATATATATATATATATATATATATATATATATATATATATATGACGTCATGGTGGCAACGTGTTGCTCAGAAGGTCATGTCAGTCAGAGACGGATCAGAAATACAGTTAAACAAAGAAGACTTGATATATTCGTTAGCAGTTTGGGCTGAAATGCACCAAGTTTTCTCTGTGACGAAGAATTAGGAGACGGGTTTCAACTGGTGATCCTTGAAAAAGTTCCACAATAACAAGTGTCGTAACTCGTGCGTGTGTGACCCTTTTCACAATACTTGTTGATAGTGCGAGTGGTCTTATTTCGCCTGTTGTGGTTTAGATTCAGTTGGATTCATGGCCAATTATTATAGACAGGTTCTTGTATCAAGCGTTTTTTTGAGTGAAAGTAACGGTTGCCTGGGCGGCTGTGGTTGGTAGCCAGCCTGGCCTACCTGCCTCCTCCCCTTCCGCCTTGGAGTTTACTGCCCCCCGCAGTTACTCATCGTCCCGCACCACATTGTTCCATCCACTCCCATTACCTCGTTCCACACCGACGTCATTACCTTGTTCCACACCGCCTTGTTATTCCTCCACACGATTCACCACTACTTCCTATCCCAACAACCTCCGTTCCACGCCGCCCATCACCACCACTACGTTCCCGCACCTCCCACCACCCTAGCCGCCTATCATAAGCCTCTCAGGAAGGCAGAAGAAAAGTCACTATCACGTTTAGCTCAAGGTTGGCGTAATCAGCGCAAGACAAAGATGGTAGTGGTACGTGGGACTAGGTTACGAGGGGGTGGGGTGAACAGGTAGCAACAGGTGAGGGGGGTGGGATGAACAGGTAACAGCAGGTGAGGTGGGTGAACAGGTAGCAACAGGTGAGGTGGGTGAACAGGTAGCAACAGGTGAGGTGGGTGAACAGGTAGCAACAGGTGAGGGAGGTGGGATGAACAGGTAGCAGCAGGTGAGGTGGTGAACAGGTAACAGCAGGTGGGGGTGAACAGGTAACAGCAGGTGAGGAGGTGGGATGAACAGGTAGCAGCAGGTGAGGGAGGTGGGTGAACAGGTAACAGCAGGTGAGGGTGAACAGGTAGCAGCAGGTGAGGAGGTGGGATGAACAGGTAGCAGCAGGTGGGGGTGAACAGGTAGCAGGTGAGGAGGTGGGTGAACAGGTAACAGCAGGTGAGGAGGTGGGTGAACAGGTAACAGCAGGTGGGGAGGTGGGATGAACAGGTAGCAGCAGGTGGGGGTGAACAGGTAGCAGCAGGTGAGGGGGTGGGGTGAACAGGTAGCAGCAGGTGAGAGTGAACAGGTAGCAACAGGTGAGGGAGGTGGGATGAACAGGTAACAGCAGGTGGGGTGAACAGGTGCAGGTGGGGGTGAACAGGTAGCAGCAGGTGGAGGTGGGTGAACAGGTAACAGCAGGTGGGGGTGAACAGGTAGCAACAGGTGGGTGAGGGAGGTGGGTGAACAGGTAACAGCAGGTGGGGTGAACAGGTAACAGCAGGTGAGGAGGTGGGTGAACAGGTAACAGCAGGTGGGGGTGAACAGGTAACAGCAGGTGAGGAGGTGGGTGAACAGGTAACAGCAGGTGAGGGAGGTGGGTGAACAGGTAACAGCAGGTGGGGTGAACAGGTAACAGCAGGTGAGGGAGGTGGGTGAACAGGTAACAGCAGGGGGGGAACAGGTAACAGCAGGTGAGGGAGGTGGGTGAACAGGTAACAGCAGGGGGGTGAACAGGTAGCAGCAGGTGAGGGAGGGGGGCGAGGTGGTGTTTCTGGTAACCAAGAATAGTAGTGTAATAAGACATGATCGGCGCCACGCTCCCTTCGCCTCCCTCCTGCCCTGACACCTTCATCAACATAACGATTAAAGCCGAAACGTCCGCTGTGACGGGCTGGGATGCTCTGGTGCTCCTCACCAGCATTCATTACAACGCCAACCCTTTGTAGACATATCATTATCAAGTCGCAAGCGGGCCTAACGCCCCCCAACCTCTGCCCCACCTCCTCCCAGATGTGATTAGTCCCACTCGCTCAGAACCATGCCACTTGAACAAAGTTTTCACTGGCGTGAAATAGTGCACAGTAGCGTCATTCTTGTGCAAGTCATTTAAAAATGGAAGAATCTGTCTATCAGAGTGCCATCCATGGGTTTGAGGGGTGTATCCAGGGCCCAAACTTTGTTACGCATTCAATATCAATCCTCCCAGTGGTGTATCTTTCTTAAGACTCATCTCAGTCTCCGTCTTCCCTTCGCTTCCTACACTCAAGTCTTACCCATTAATATTTATAGTATTCCTGGTTGCCAGTTGTAAGACCAAAATATCTCATTTGATTTATTCTTAAAATTTCCAGCACTTGTTGTTGTCGTTGTTGCCAGTCTTAGTGCTACTACTGTTGTTCTATCAGTATGGTGTACCTTTAATGGTCTCAAGAGCCTCTACCTAGCCTTTGTTGGTGTCACGCCTCACATGTACTCACCATACCTCGCAGTTTATTGACTCCTTTCCCCAACTTTAATTAATTGGTCTTTTAATATTTCTTGAGATTATTAAAAGCTGTTTCTGCTTGACCTGAAAATGGCAGTGTTTTAGAGTAGTTATGTTTGCCCCGTGGATGTCTTCCACAGCCAAGCATGGCGTAACGTGATCAATTTTGTTGGGCTCGGGGCAAAGTGTCGGGTCTGGCAAGCGCCCACAGGTAAGGCTCCAAATGAAGGCCCAGCGACGGCTCACTGGCGCCGTCACATTGGTGCTTACGCCTGTGCTACCGAGATGTTTACTGAAGGCTCTTTCGTCTTTGACATTGTTCGTTATTTTTTGTCCAAAGTTTACACACACACACACACACACACCAACCAGTGTTTGAAGGCGGTGCTACATTACTGTGAATATCAGCTTTGACAGGTATCGCGAGAGCTAAGGATGGATTCTCTTGTTGTCTTGCCGATTGTTGTCAGTCACTTGTCGTCAGAATATTGCTTGGATTTTATGGTCATTTGCATTACTGTATGTAGTGAGTGTGTATTTATTTCTGTGTGGCGAGGCAGCGATTTATTGTTGCGCTAAAACCGGGTTTAAGTACTCGAGGTGACGGTAAATGTCTTTATTTAATTATACCTTTTTTATGGTTAATTTTTTAAGTCACTTGGGTGTAATATTTTGTTGAAACTGGAATAGTGTGTATGTTTTATTAGTGCCCCATATGTTGCGTCAGGCACCTGTGCACCTCCCGAAGAGTTTGGTGGTTTTAATATCTTGGTTTACTAAGAATAAATCAAGATGCTGTGTATATCCTTCCTTGGGTTGTATTTATATTCTTTGTATTTGTGTTTACTGC